TTCATACCTGGTTTTGGCAATACTGGCTGCATAGAATGATTATGGAAGTGTTCTGTCCCATTCTATTTTGCAAAATAATTTAAGGAGCATTGGTTTTAGTTCTTCTTAAAGGTCTTAGAGTTCAGCAGTTCATCTGTCTGATCCTGAGATTTTGTTACTGCTTTAATATCATTGTTCTTTATAGATCTTTTAAGATCTTTATATTCTCTCATGAAATGTATTCTTTCCTAACCTTTTGTGTTTGTGACCGTCTTTCTCCCCCATCTGTATATAGGAATCCTTTAAGTATTTTCTGAAATGCTAGCTTAGTGGTCATGAGTTGCTTTAGCTTGTGCTTATCTTGTAAGGTCTTTACTTCTTAACCGATTTTAAAGGATAACTGCTGGATATAGTAATCTTGGTTGGCAGTTACTTTCAGAGCTTAAATATATCACTCCATGCTTTCTGTTGAGAGGTCTGGTGTGATTATGATGGGTTTGCTTTTGTTAAGTAAGTTACCATTTTTCTCCTGCAGCCTTCAATATTCTTTATTTATTCTGTAGTCTTAGCATTTTACTATAATGTGACATGGAGAAGTTCTTTCATGTTTATGTCTATTTAGGGCTCTAAATGCCTCCCATACTTGGATGTCCATATCTTTTCCTAGATTTGGGGAGCTTTCTGCTATAATCTCACTGAATTCTATGCCTTTAATTTGTATCTCAGTTCCTTTTTCTACCTCATGTATTCTTAGGTTTGGTTTCTTGTTCATGTCCTAAAATTCTTGAAAATTGTGGTCATGCTTTTTTTCTTTATTGCTGTCTGAATGTAGTATTTCCTTAACTTTTTAGTCAATACCTGATATTCTTTCTTCTATATTGATGATCCTTTCCACTATATTTTAAACTTGATTTACTGAGTTTTTCATTTCCAATGTTTGTATCTTTTTCAGAATCTCAACTTATTTCCTGAATTTCTCATCAGCATTGCTATTTTCTCATCCAGGTCTTTTTTTGTTTGGTTTTTTTTTTTTTTTTGTCTTTTCTTTTTTGGTGCTGGGATCGAACCCAGGGCCTCACGCATGCTAGGCAAGCACTGTACCACCGAGCTACATCCCAGCCCCTCATCCAGGTCTTGAACTGACTTCCTTACTTCATCTATCTGTTCATTTTAATACTCTTTGGGGTCACTCATCATTTCTAAAACTAGTCTGTTGAATTCTTTGTCCAGCATTTCAACAAGAGTCATAGTTCTCTTTTTCATATTTCTTGTGTTTTATGTTGCAATTTGCACATCTGTTGGGATGGATATCTCTCAGTTGTTTATGTGTTTTCAGTGTTACGGAGTGCATAGCTTCTCTTGTAATTACAATCCCACTACCACTTGAGGAGTGAAAGTAGACAGCAATAACAAAAATATCAATTTAAAAACAAACCCAAATTTAAATGTAGCAGAAAACAATGAGAAACATCAACTACTCAATAAAGTTAGAAAAGAAAGGAACTAGGGTACCTATAGTATAAATTAGGTGTTTAAAATTTGTTAAAACTGAAGGTACTAATAATTAAGTAATAAAAAGAAGAGAAACAGGGAAAGGAAAAAAGAAAAAGCAAGATAGGAAAGAGAAAGTATATAAGATAAAGATATAAAAAACAATGATGACAGAGGGCTAGTGAAGTAGCTCAAGTAGTAGAGTGCCTGCCTAGCAAGCATGAGGCCCTGAGTTCAAACTCTGATGCTACAAAAAAAAAAGAAAGAAAAAGAAGCAATAGTGAGGGAGAATACAATAAAATAAGTACAAAGAGACAACAACTTTTAAAAAGCAGTCAATAGTTCTTCCTTTCTGACAAGAAGAGGATGGATTACCACACCCCCAGCTTGTCTTTTGCAGTTGACTTTGGGATAGGGACAGCTCCTTTTCTCTCTGAAGTCCTAACAACTTAGGCTAGAAAAGACCAGGCTGAGATCTGTCCTGTCTTCTCTGCTGGGTTCAATTTCTATGCAGGAGCCTTCCTCAGAGTGCTCTCAAGCTGAGTCCAGGCCCTCCTCCCCCAACTGTTGGATACCTTCTCATACCAGAGGTGCTCTGCCTGTGTTGGTTTGATATGGGAAATTCCTGAGAAGTGCTGCTTTCTACCAAACTCTTTGGCCCCTTGGGAGTGTACACAGCAATCAAGCCTGGTGGGGTTTGACCCCCTTCCCTACCACTTGTTGCCCTCCCTTGCGTTTTCCTTGCTTTCCCTACAATTCTCTATCACAGTGTCCTGCTTGTATTCACACATGCCTGGTCTTTCTCCTCTTACTGGAGTTCAGGCTGTAGTTCCACTAATGCCCCCTCATAGCTTCCCTCTGCAGCATGGCTTACAGCTTGCTCTTCCCACCCAAATAGATCTGTGTCTGTGGATCTTGAGTCAAAGTTGCAACCAGTTTCCTGGGTCCACACTGATTCTCAGGGCAATCACTCATTTAAGCCAGTAGAGGGGAAAGGCCTTTGGGGTTTGGTGGTATGAAAATAAGAGGTCTTCTGCTCTCCCTAGTGAAGATGTTTGATTCTAAGACCTCTCCTAAGACAATCTCTCTTTAGGGCGCTAGTGAACAAGCTAGGAAGTGCAGGCATCTCCTTGGTGCATGGCATGCATTTCTCCATCTTAAACTTTCACTTCTGCTGAGTGCCAGTTTGTGCACCTGTGACGCTTCCCAAGGCTTCCCCTTTCTCTTTTGCTTGGAGCCCAGCTTTGGGGTTCTCCCTGTTCCCTATTACTTTTCTTACTGCTCTATGTTAGGGTCTATTGTTTCTTTTATAAATCTAAAGTTCAATATTTCTGAATTTCACCTGATCTCAGTCTACTGTTGTTCTCCCTTGCCTTTTCTCACCACCCACCTCTCCCAACAGCCACACACATATTTTGTTTCAAATTCTTGGAGACCCAGGAAAGGGCTAGGTGCCTCTAATCTTCTATCTTTGGTACACTCACTTTAATATGTAGATAACCTATAGTCATGCTGAATTTTTGCTTAGTAATTCTAAAGGTTTTCTTTGGATTCTAAAACAGACAATGCTGTTTAGAAATTATGGTAAATATAACTCTTCTAAGATTTTTAAACTTAAATATATTTTTGTAAGTCCTACATGTGTTAGCACTGCCAGGGCAATACTTAATTAAGGTGATAATCATCACCCTAACCTTATTTCTAACTTGGTTAATGAGGGAACTTGAGGAAGGCTCTTTGGAACTTCTATGGGCCTCACACTCCTCCAGGAGCAGAGCTGCTTATGCCATGGAAGCAACCTCCAGAATGTGCAGATGGAGAACTTTAGAGTGTGGCATATTCTCCAGGCGCTTCTCCCTAGACCAGGGCACCACAACCCAGAGACCATGCTGGCCTGATAAGAGTATGTCTACCAGACTCAGCATACACCTTCAGCAAGATTTACTCTTGTCAATCTTAGTATCAGAGCTTCCTGTGTTCCACTGGCAGAGTGGCTCAAGTGGTAGAGTGCCTGCCTGGCAAGTGTGCATCCCTGAATTCAAACCCCAGTACTGCCCAAAAAAAAAAAAAGTTCAGAGCTTTCTGTGTTCCCTTTAAGACTGCCCTTACTCAGCTGCCACACAGCCCCAAGCAAGGATCCCTAGAGTGCTATAGAGCTCCATGTTCTTGTGTCAGGCCAACACATTCCTCTAATGTCAGAGTTCACACACAGCCTCTCAAGGAGGGTAAATCTGGATCTGATCATCACCTGCCCCTTACGACTTAAAAGAACTGCATCTGTGGCCCTCAGTCCCAGGCGTCCTTCTCAGGAGGACCTGGAAATTTAACATTCCCTTATTTGAGTCCAACCTCTTGCTGATGCCTCAATCCCTTTCCCTGTGACTTCAACAAAAACCTCTGTGTTCTCAACTTACCTGATCTTCTTTTCATCTTCATGTAACTGTACTTATCTTTCCTGGTGTGCCATGGTATTTGTGTCAGCTCTTTTGGTATTTGTGTTTACTCTTTTGTCCCTGTCCCCTTCCTCACTGCAGTCTACAGATGCCTCAGTCCTGATCATCCTCACCACTCAGGCCAGGAGTCTGAGAACATCACACAGCACTGTGATGGAATTAGGAGAGGATGCCACCCTGACAGCTTCAAGAGCTAATGAAGACCTCAGGCAGTGACTCCATCTGGCCTTAGCCGTGGTCATGCAGAGTGTCGCTGCTAGCTATCGTAAGTAAAATCTGCCTTTAAAGAGCTAACATAGGGAATGGCACATTGGGCAAGTAAACAGCTTCTTAATCCTTATTTTCTACTCTTGAGGAATTTTTCCTTTCTATTTTTGAAGAATTTTCCACTATGTGAATGATTATCAGGAACATCTACTATTGAAGCTGAAGGAGTCAGACTTTCCTTCTCTCCCAACTGGCCTTGATAGTGTGGGTGCAGGATTTCAGGACAACAAATCACACACAGAAGTGTGTGCGTGCACACACATACACAGCATTCTGAATTAGGAGCACCTAGGAAGTTTTTCTGTGGTGGCTGTGCTACCTGATCAGTGACAAGAAATGAGTGATGCAGCAGCAAAGGGTGAAGCCTGAGGAAATGATGGTGATGACACCACAGAGCCAGGTACAGTTCAAGCCAAACCCACTGGAACAAGTCTTCCCTGTGTTCTGCTTCCTGGCTACCCTTGGTTCCATCCTTCCCATTGACAGTGGACTACTTCACTGCCTCCTGGGCTGCTTTTCAGTTTCAGCTAGTCAGTATCAGCACCTATTGCTTGTAATTCAGAACTCTGTGTGACTCACCTACTAACTCAGCCAGGGCTTCCATGCTGACCAACTCAGGGGGCACCGAAGACAACATAAAAATGGCAGTTCTAGAGTTATGCAACATGGTCCCACAAAATCTACCTTAGTGACAGCAAGAACTATGAATCAATGTGTGTCTACAAGACAGAACACAGACTAGGAAGATAAACAGTATTTACTTCGTTACATATTTGAATAACAAAAACAATTACATTATAATCCTAATCATTTAAACATAAGCTTTCTAGTGCCGTCAGGTATGTTCAACTCTTGTCTTCCACTTACAATCTGGAAAATCTTAGGCCGACTGCTTAATGGCTGGAAAATGGGGGCAGTAATGGCTAATTACTCTCCTCTTTCATTTTCTTATCAGAAAAACAAACACTAGTTCTTACTTCACTGACTTCTGATGAGGATTTAAAAGTCAAGTCACAGAGCACAGTGCAGTTGGTGCACAGCAGGCATCTGAGAGTTACCAATTCCTTTTCCAATGCTGGTAACATAATTTAGGCTTTGTATGCATGCAAGCGCTTTACCAAAGTGAGACCATCTTCAGCTGGTGCGATCCTCTTAGCTGCGCTGAACTTTGAAGCAGTACGACCTCAGGATGCTTGTTCCCATGCTTCTGGCTTCCACGCCCACAATGCTCATACTGTCACTTTTCACATGGATAAATCCACTGCAAAGAAAACAGACAAACATTTAAATAGTAGAGGCTTTTACAGGAAGATGGAGCTCAGCCTCTGTATCTTCTTCCCACCCGGTCAACCAATCTCTCTCATTTACTCCGGGCTTTAATTTTAGGATCTAAATGTGTTTGTCATAATTGGAAAACATTATCACATTCGTAAGTGGAAATATCATTTCAGGGCTCTCCTAATAGTAGCTACCTTAACCACAGTGATTCTAACCGTTCTAAGAAACTTCTGGCTGGTCTTGGTCTTGTTGCTCTCTGTTTCACATGAATTAACTTGCTTTATTCTGGTTATTTACTTATTTATTTATTGTTGTGCTGGGTAGGGGTGCACTGTGGCATTTACAAAAGTTCTTACAATATGTCAAATACATCATACTTGAATTCACCCCCTCCATTTTTCTTTATTCCCCTCTCCCCTCTTGTTGCTCTCCTGACTGAAGGAGATGTAATTTTAGGAGCTCATGGGTACAGTCATTTTCCACGAGATCAGAGTCAAGGTCCAACCTAGGCTCAGTCATGCGTTCTGTGTGGGACTTTTTTTTTTTTAATTCATATGTACATACACTGTTTGGGTCATTTCTCCCCCCAGTCCCCTACCCCCCCTTAATCCCCACACCCTCTCCACCCCACTCCCTCCATATCCAGCAAAAACTATTTTGCCCTTATTTCTAATTTTGTTGAAGAGAGAGTATAAGCAGTAATAGGAAGGAACAAGGCTTTTTGCTAGTTTAGATGAGGATAGCTATACAGGGAGTTGACTCACATTGATTTCCTGTGCATATGTGTTACCTTCTAAGTTAATTCTTCTCAAACTAACCTTTTCTCTAGTTCCTGGTCCCCTTCTTCTATTGGCCTCAGTTGCTTTAAAGTATCTGTTTTAGTTTCTCTGCATTGAGGGCAACAAATGCTATCTAGTTTTTTGGGTGTCTCACCTATCCTCATACCTCCCTTGTGTGCTCTCGCTTTTATCATGTGCTCAAAGTCCAATCCCCTTGTTGTGTTTGCCCTTGATCTAATGTCCACATATGAGGGAGATCATATGATTTTTGGTCTTTTGGGCCAGGCTAACCTCACTCAGAATGATGTTCTCCAATTCCATCCATTTACCAGTGAATGATAACATTTCGTTCTTCTTCATGGCTGCATAAAATTCCATTGTGTATAAATACCACATTTTCTTGATCCATTCGTCAGTAGTGGGGCATCTTGGCTGTTCCCATAACTGGGCTATGGTGAATAGTGCTGCAATAATCTGTGGGACTTTAGACAAAATCCCCACATCTCTCAGCTTCTGTTTCACCTGTCAGCATGGGTGATGCCAAGTGTGTGTGATGGCTTTGTATGTTAGAGGGAGTAATGCATACACTGCACAGCTACAGCTAGAAATCTGGTTTTGAACAGGACAGGAGAAAGATTGTGAGTAGTGGCTGCCTCAAGACCCAGTTAGTAAGGGAAAGGCTGGGATTATGATTCTAAGTCCTACATGTCCCTTTCCAAGATGTCCTACAAGAAACTGCTTTGAGGCAGATGCAGTGCATGCACCTGTAGTCCCAGCTACTCCTACTCAAAAGAACAAGGCAGGAAGATCTCTTGAGCACAGGAGTTCAAGACCAACCTGAGCAATACAGTAAGACCTTGTTTCAAAATATAACAAGCAAACAAAAACACTGCTTTGCCATTTTACAGGCAAAGTGTAGGAAAACAGCCAATTACCTGGCCCATCTGTGGGATCCCCCAAGCAAGTGATAGCAGCTCTTGAGGACCGGGAATTTATTCTCCTTATTCCACACATAGATGCGCAAGGAAAGGTCCAAGGAAGAGGTGATGACTCGGGTTGGGTCCTTGAAATGAAGTCAAGTGAGACATGGATGTGGACTCCTGAGGGCAGAGAGCATGCCACGGGAAGAGGGTGCTGCACTCACCACCCATAGGGATGTGATGGGCTGCTGGTGGTCTTGGAAGGCTGCTAGCTGCAGGCCATGTATGGTGAACAGCAGCAGCTCTGACCCAGAGGCCAATAGGATCAGCTGAGAGCTGGGGCCCTTCATGAGATGAGGAGGCATCATGGCGTCTGGTAAGGGGAAACTGGTCATCTGTTGTACTTTGAGGAATGAAAGCACACAGATTGCTTGTCTGGTATAAACATACAACTCATCCCTAACCTCCGTACTCACTCCAAGTCCTAATTCATCAGCAACAATATAGTGAGATACACAAGGAGTTGTAAAGACTCAATGCATTATGCTTGTGAAGGGACTAGAATAGTGTCTGGTGCATAGAGCCATTCATGGGATGGGGGTTTCCCTGCCTTCTTCCCTTTCCCATCTAAGGCGGCTGGTGTAAGAAATGGCCATATAAGCATTATGACATATCTGCTAAAAATTATTGTTGAAGATACTGTCCTTTATACTGAATAGCACTTCTTTATACCAGGAGAAAAAATTACTTCTTGTGAAGAATTTGTGTGTTTTCTTGTATCAGACGAGGGGTATATTACACACTCCCATTTCCCTTTTTTCCTTAGCTGCCAGGAAGCTCAAAGTAGAACTTATAGTCAAATGACATGAAAACAAATGAGCATAAGGCAAAGGAAAAAATGCTAAGGAGCATAGGAAAGGCCTGTCAGAGTACTGTGGGGTTTAAGAAATAGGGGAGACAGTGGGGAGGGCTGTGGATCTGTTTTGCTATCAGACTAAGAATTCCTTGAGGAAAAGAGAGTTCCAGCATTTACTCATGTTTGTCTGCATCACTGCTGAGAACAGGGCCTTTTGACACAGTCAGAAAAAGGAATGAATGGAAGCAGGAAGATGAGTTAGGAGGGGACACCGTGGGGACAGGCGTATTTACTGTCGGAATCCCAGGGCCACACAAGGTGTCCAACATGTAGCAAATGCTCCATCACTCAACCAGTGCATAAAAATCACAACAAAGCTTTTGCTTGGTCACTACGCCACTAGTTTCCCCCGAGAGGGAAGAAAAATTGTCCCAAAGGAAATGTAAGAAACCTACCCTGGAGGCCAGTACTGCAATGGTGGTAACCTGCAGACTGGTCAGCACAGGGGCCCTTACCCAGAATGTTCGTTCTAGCTCTGAACTTCTCAGCCTTTAACTCAAAGGTAGTGACAACCAGCTGCGTGCCATTGTCATTTCTGTGCATCACAATCAGCCTGGCTGCCTCATCGGAGGCCCAGCAGGCTCTGGAACTCAGCCTGACCGGGAGGGTGGTGCAGATAGGAGGCTCATCTTCCAACGGCTCCAGCAAGGACTGAGTGTAGAACACCTGGAGAAATACTGGTCACAGTGCGGGTGAGGAAGAGGCCTCTCAGGGCCTGCAAGCTCAGAAAAACCCCCAGCCCAACCTGATTTTAGTGCCTCTGGCAGGGGCTGGCCAGGCAGCTGGCTCTGCCCATGCACACACGCCCACCCTACTGTGCCTTACAGGAAACCCAAGACACTTGTATGTCTCCTTTCCAGGCTATGGATGGTCCTGGGGCTTTTGAAGGTTAATCCCAGCTCACATCTGGCCCTGCTGGGGATATCCTGGCATGCCAACCCCAGGACTGAAGCACCTGAACAGCAGTTCTCTATTTTTGAAAAGCAGTAGTCATTTTGCTGGTGCTGCATGTCTTCCTAACATTCCTTTCCTCTCTCCTAGGCCTCCTTAGGAAAGGGTCCATGGGGCTTCTGCATCTCACTCACTGTTCTTCTCTGACCGCGTGCATCCCTGATTACCAGGTCCCTAGGGTCTCAGTCTCTTCCTGCTCTGTGACAGTTCTGGTTCTCTCTCTGGCCCTCCCGTTCCACAGCACTACTGACAACTGTCTGCTTTTTACTGTGGTCTAACTTCCCATTTTAATCTCTGGCACTCAAAAGGTGCTTCAATGCTGGCAAAAACTGCACATCTCTATGCCTGCAAGTGGCTAACAGGATGTCAGAGAATGAGGATCTGGTGCCACTCCCAACCATGCTGCAGGAGGCACAGCAAAGCTCTGCCACACCATTCTCCAAGCACAGCTGCTTTCCTCTTCAGCACCTCCTTTGTGCCTCACTGCTCACCCTCGCTCTGTCCTCATAACACCAAACTGCTGATCAGGATGATTCTAAGACCTGAACCTGTTCACAAGTGTCCTCTGCCCTCCCCAGCAGAAGCCTGGCCCCTTCAGGCTCACAGGCAGCACAGCAGCCACCAGGAGTGAGGCTGGGGGCGGGCGAGCCCCTGAGCTGCCACAGGAGACAGTTCCAGGAGCTGACTCCTATGAGGAGCAGAAAGTGGATATCAGGGAGCCACCAGGGCCCTCTACTACCAGGAGATAGGGCTTGGTCCTGGGCAAGAAGGAACTTGCAAACACAGACTCAAGGCTCCAGACCATCTTCTTCCCTCAGAGCCAGGCTTCGTAGGGAAAAGAGCTCTGTAGGCACTGACCTTCGGGCCCAGGTCTGAGTCCTGTGCAGATGCAAACACCCACAGTTGATCAGGTGAGACCACAAGGTTCACAGAGGAGTGGGGAAAGACAGTCACTTTGGAGACCACCTGCAGCTGAGGCATCATCAGTGCATAGAGGTTTCCTTCTGCACAGGCCGCCTGGAACAGAAAGGAAGCATCAGAACACCATGGCATGAGAGGTGCTAAGACTCCTGGCCCAAGTAACGCACCATGGCCTTCTGAAATAGCTGTGTCCTCTCCTGGAGGGTGGAGATAACTGCTTAACTGCTGCCCCCACTGGGTCTGTTACTTTTAAATTGTACCTTAGAATGTTTTTTCAAATACAGAGACAAGGGCTAGGGATGTAGCTCAGTGGTAGAGCACTTACCTAGCGTGCACAAGGCCCTGCAAAAGTAAATAAGCAAACACACAGACAAAAATGGATATGTTCAAACAGCATGTCTTCAGAGCAAATCCTCTACTCCCTTCTTGGTGAAAGTTCAGCATGTGACCCTCCATTAGCAAAGGGACATAGGATCACACTGGGGTGCTATTCTGCAACCTGTGTTCTATGGCTTATTTTAAAATACTCCTTGAAGCCATGAAGAAGAACGAAATGTTATCATTCGCTGGTAAATGGATGGAACTAGAGAACATCACTCTGAGTGAGGTTAGCCTGGCCCAAAAGACCAAAAATCATATGTTCTTCCTCATATGCGGACATTAGATCAAGGGCAAACACAACAAGGGGATTGGACTTTGATCACATGATAAGGCGAGAGCACACAAGGGAGGTATGAGGATAGGTAAGACACCCAAAAAACTAGATAGCATTTGTTGCCCTCAATGCAGAGAAACTAAAACAGATACTTTAAAGCAACTGAGGCCAATAGGAGAAGGGGACCAGGAACTAGAGAAAAGATTAGTTTGAGAAGAATTAACTTAGAAGGTAACACACATGCACAGGAAATCAAGGCGAGTCAACTCCCTGTATAGCTATCCTTATCTAAACTAGCAAAAACCCTTGTTCTTTCCTATTATTGCTTATACTCTCTCTTCAACAAAATTAGAGATAAGGGCAAAATAGTGTCTGCCGGGTATAACTGAGGGGGTGGGGGGGAGAGGGAGGGGGCGGGCGGGTAAGGGATGGGGTGGGGAAAGGGGGGAGAAATGACCCAAACATTGTATGCACCTATGAATTAAAAAAAATTAATTAAATAAATAAAATAAAATACTCCTTGAAAATCTAGCCACCTTTGTGGACGTTTTCTTTTACTTCCTCTCACACTAATGGAAATTTAAACTGTTTACAATTTTGTTACTTCAAACAATCACTGTACAATGAATGCTTCTGTTCACACCTCTGTGCACAGAGGCTAGGATTTTGTCAGGACATCACTAGGTCAAAGAGTACGCATATTTAAAACTTTGAACAACAAAAAAAAAAGCTTCTAAAAAAAGCTTCAAACCATACTCCTCCTTACCATGTATAAAAATACCTATGTCTTGTCATCCAACTTAGAATACTGATACTGAAAAATGTTTGCTCGAGTGGTAGGTGAAAAATCTTTTTCTTTTGCCTTTTGAGACAAGGTCTTCCTATATAGCCCAGGCTAGTCTCCAACTGGTGATCCTCCTGTCTCATCCTCTCCCAGCTTAATGTCACTTTCTTGAAAACTATTTAGGTTCTACATCGTTATATTATGGGCATTTGCACTTTTTCCTCTGAATTAACTGCTTATAACTTTACCTATTTCACCTAGGCTTCTAGCCCCACCCCAAGTGCTAAGATGAACCTGCTAGGCAAGAGTTCTGCCAGTGAGCCGTACCTCCCTAGCCCTACATCTGGTCTGATATATTTCCTTTTTTTTTTTCTAATGGTACTGGAGGTTTGAACTCAGAGCTTCGAGTTTGCTTGAAGGTGCTCTACCACGTGAGCCACACCTCCAGACCTTCTGCTCTGGTTATTTTGGAGACAGGGTCTCACTTTTTGCCCAGGCCAGCCTGGACTGTGATCCTCCTACTTTAAGTTTCCACCACTGCTGGATAACAAGGCACATGCCGCCATGCCCAGCTTTTTCTTGAAGTGAAATCTCAGTCTCCTAAGTAACTAAGATTACAGGCATGAGCCACCAATGCCAAGATTTAAGGCCTTTTTAAAGTAAGATAAAGACCATAATTTTTCATATTTTAATTTTATAATGCTACCATATTGTTCAGATGTTTTTAATTCTTTAAGTAAGTCAAATGTGCATAGCTTTTTCTCATTCCAGATTTTCTCTTGCTTGGCAAGGCCTTGCATATCCCAGATTGTTTATTTTTTTAAATCATTTATCTATTCTTCCAACAATTTTATACCTTTGTCTTTTACACTCAGTTTAATTATTCTTAATTTATTTTTGTAAATGGAATGAGATAGGGGTTTTGCTTTCCTAATGGCCAAGTGTTCCACTCTGCAAACAGGTTGCCTTTTACCTACTTTTTAAAGACCATCTTTGCCACAGACTTTACACAAGGTGTCCACTCTGGACTTCCTATTCTGTTCAACTTAGGTAGAAATACCTATTATTACTTTATAAAAATACACAAATTTTTTCCAAATGCATATGAATGGCAGACAACATTCAAAGTTAAACAGTAATAAGATGCAAAACATTTTAGATAATGGAAACACTTCCCTCAAGAACAACCAAGAAGAGATCTGTAGCTGCACCTACGTCACCAGCACCTGCAATAGGACACCCTAAATCAGAAGCTTGCACTTGGCCTTTCTTACTCCCCAGTCACACTTTCTTGAGCCAATTTTGAACTTGTCTGGGGACCTTTCCTGCTCCTGCAACAAAAGGCTCATTATGGGAGCATCATCCTTCTGTACACCCTGGTGCATGTGAGGAGTCGGCAGTAAGGTGGAGCCCAATCTCCACCCACCCCAGGGTAACCACAGCAAACTGGAGCAGCAAGCATTGTGTCAAGGTGGTGCCTCACACTTCTCTTGCTTTGCTTGTCATGTGCTCTGAAGCTGGCTGGGAGCAGATGCCTGTACTGTGCTACTATGTCCTGCATTTGCTGGGTTCCACCAAGCCAAGTTTCAGTAACTGGTATTTAGGGACAGAAGTGACCTCTTTAAAGTTACCTTAGGTCATGTTCTTGCCCCAGATTTACCTGTGTCTTCTGTGGAACTGTCACCAGGGTCAGGAATGGCTCTCACCCTGAGACCAGTGGTTGTGTGTCTCCATTCTACCGAACACTTAGTGGAAAGACTGGTAATCTGTGTGACATATGGCCCCAACAGGTGGTGGCTGGTGTGAGACCAGTCACTATGCTATGTGCTTACTCCCTAAAAGGTATTTCACCAGGACCCTAGAAAATGCCTGAGCTATTGCTGTTGCCTAATGTTTCCATAGTAACAAAGATCCTGATTTTCTGGGTTACTGGATAAACACCCATGCCACCCAGAGGCATCAACCCTTTGAAACACAGAAACAAAGGCTGGAGGAGTGGTTCAAGTGGTAAAGTTTGTACGTAGCAAAGGTGAGGCACTGAGTTCAAACCCCAGTACCCCGTCCCAAAAAAACAAGAAAATAAAAAGAGAAGCAGTGACAATGCTTTGCCTACCTGCCTTCACCATTCCCCTTCTTACAGGACTGGGAACAACATCACCCTCAGTTTTTTCTGAGTTGAACCTTAGCAAGGTCTTGAAAATAGGAATGAACATTAAGAGAAACTGTAGGGAGAAGACATACTGTGGCACAGATTTGCAGACAAGAAAGCAAGGGCACGTGGCCACAAAACTCTAGGAGTCCACGCAGCTCGATCTCACCCTCACCGTGAAAGAAAGGGAGAGGCTACAGAGACAGGATGCTACTACATGTAGAGCAGGACAGGAGCAGGAGTCTGCACTCCCGGAGTGGGCAAGGAAGAGCCAGAGTGTGTGGTAAGCCATGCAGAGGGCCTGGTTCAAGACTCCACCCATCGTGGCAGTCACAGTGCAAGTGTCCAGACCCAGGGAGGTGGCCAAACTCTGCAGAAAGCCAGATCACTCACCAGCAGGAAGAGACCCTGTGGATGGTCACAGGTCTCCATCACAGAAGAGTAGGTCAGTAAGGAGAAGGAGGCACACTCACACCCAGTCTCTGCATTCCACACTTTGATCAATCCCTGGGTGTCCACAGTGACAACCAGCTGCTGCTGAGGATAGGTTACCAAATTCACCAGAGAAGCAGGCTGCACAGGGCTGGACCAGATCTCTGTACCCTGGCAAAACAAAATGAACATAACTGACATGGGATACATGTATAATAAACACATTAATTTTATGCACATTTCAGCATACATTATTTATCTGTGCCTACTCTGGGCCAGGCTCCACAGTATACACAGGGGCAGGCACATGGGTGAAAAGGCTGTGATCCCATCCTACAGTATTGTAGGAAGAATAGAAAGACAGGTGTATCCCAGATAGACAAAGGATAAGAACCTAGTTGGGTCATCTGGAAAGTTCTGAAGACTGGGCAACATCTAACAGGAGCACCAACAGATAGAGGGAGACTCATTCACAATAGCACAATGAATCTGAAGCATTTCTGGTGGTTACCCAGGGCTCAACTGAAGGAAGCTGTAAACTGGACAGGGAGGTCAGATGCAACACCAGCACTATGCACAGGAGCCTGAGCTGTGCACTGTTCCACATTGCTCTCAGTTGGCAAAGAACTCTGTGTTATCTCACTTAAGAGTTATGGTAGCCCAGTTTTACTGACAAACTGATACAGTTTATGTTACTGACATGGTTGCCCTGCTTGGAATGCTTCCCCATTTTCTGCAATATGTCCCAGTAGTGCCACCTTCAGCCAGCCCTAGCCAAGGCCTCAGTACATAGAGTCCACTGATCCAGAGGGAGACAACTGCCCAAGCTGAGTCCATTCCAAGGTCTGTCCTGGGATTTTGAAAACTGAAACCACTGGGCCTGTCATCACTGAGACAGGGCATCAGGGTACATTTCTGACTGCTGTCCCAGAATTCTAGACCTCATGATGAGGTTTCTTCCCAACTTTGAGTCATGGTGATCTCTTTTCTTTATCAGATCGGTTTTCCAATCATCATCTTGATATTCCACTATTAGTTTTTTCCTCTGTCATTTGATTTCTGTTACTTAAACAGCTAATAATCCTATCCCATTTGATCATCTGATCCTAACAAGAATATGTATTTAGCCTGATATCATATCTGGTATGTATCATACCAGTCATCTGACAAGAATTGTTCTTTGCAGCGCTGGGGATGGAACCCAAGGTCTTGTGCAAACCAGGTAAGTTCTCTCCCACTAAGACACAGCCCTCACCCCATATCAGCCATCTGGTACAGACCTCAGCACCAGGGACTGGACTAATGGCAAGTGATGCTCAGAAAAATATAGAGCTTTTATTAGTGGTTAGTGGTATTGAAGTGCAAGTCCCTTTTCAATTTCCAAATAGCAAAACAGCAGCCAGACACACTGCTGGAGCACACTAGTCAATTCCCTACCTGTGATCTCCAACTCCTGGTGCCTCGCGTGAGGAGGGAACCCATGCCATGACTCCCAAGGACTGTGGAGCCGAGGGCAGATAGAAACTTTTGCTAACGCTGGAAACTGTGACTCCACACAGACAAACTCAACCCTTAGCATTTTCCAGGGGTCAGAGACTAACATACAGTGTGGGAAAACACCAAACACCAATGTAGACAACTTGTCAAAATGTGATGTTGAGTATTATAAGCACAAAAAATTCAGCGCTTTAAAAAAAAACATTAACTTCAAAGGGCAGCAAAAAGTTATGGTAGGAAGAGAAAGGAATGGTAAAGATAGTTCATCTCATGCCTCAGCTATGAAGACCATTTACATTAATAATTATAGAAATGTAAACAAATGTTGACCTAAACAAAATGTACTTATTTCCATACACAAAGGGTAAAAACGTGGAGGAAAGCACTACATCACCAGCCTCATCACCCAACAGATGCCTAATAATCAGATGCCTAATGATCCCTTTGGTAACATCCTTTCCTCTGAGGAAACAGGCAAGGCATGATTGGGTTTCAAAACCAATGCTTTTAGGTGTTTTTGTTGATGGTGGTGGTTTGGGGATATTTATTTATTTAGCCAGTACTGAGTTTCAAACACAGGGCCTCACACTTGCTAATCAAACACTCTATTACCAAGCCCCCAACCCTCCCTTTAAACTATGTACAACTGCAAAGTACGTAGAAATGCTACTGTAAGTAGCATCTTCATTTCTATCACCTTTATGTAAAGTGACTACAAAGTATCGCTGTGCATTTATTGTCTTCAAAATAACCATAATAAGTTTTACAAATACACTAATATTTTTTTAAATTTTGATAGAGATGCAGAATGGCAGGAGAGAGAAACAAAGTGCACTGCAACTGGGACCCAGTTCCCTGGCTGGGGTCTCCACATTGCCATGAGGAAGTAAGCAGGAAAGGCGCATCTTGGCAGTCCTAGTTAAGAGAAAACATCACAGGCTTTGAACCCAGTTTGGGAAGCTGTCTTGGGTGTACATGACTTCTTTGCTCTAGAAGGAACTCACAATCAGACCTCTCTCTACCCCAGAGCCCAGCTTGTTACAGCCATGGTGCCAGCATGGTGCTTTCTTTGGAATGGAGCCACCGTTAAAAGAGTTCATCTTCCTGTAGGGACCAGTAAGGTGACCCCAGAATTGTTGCTGCCCTAAGTAACCACAGCATCACCACTGCTTACCTCTGTGAGGCCTCAGGACAAGTTCCTCATAACTGACACTGAGTTATGAGCCCGGCACCAGCGGCTCACATCTGTACTCCTAGCTACTCAAGAGGCAGAAATCAGGAGGATCACAGTTGGAAGTCAGCCCTGGGCAAATAGTTCATGAGATCTTATCTCAAAAAACACCCATCATAAAAAAGGGCTGGTGGAGTGGCTCAAGGTGTAGGCCCTGAGTTCAAACCCTAGTACTGCAAAAAAAAAAAAAAGAGAGAGAGAAATTACATGGAGACTATACTTCTGGGCAAAATCAGAGCAAAAGCAAAAGTACCTACCTCACACCCTATATCCCATTTAAATGAAAAAGTCCTTCTCTATGACAGCTACTCCATAAAATTAGAAGAGGCAACTATTACACCAGATGTGCAGATATCAACATAGGGACACAAGAAGCAAGAAAAATTAAGGAAGCATGACACCTACAAAAGACCATAGTAAATCTCCAGAAACAGACCCCAATGTAAAAGAAACCTATGAAATGCCTGAAAAGGAATAATGATCCTAAACAAACTCAGAGAGGCAAGAGAATAGACAATTCAGTGAGATGAGGAAAATATTTCACTGTGTGAACAAGAAATCCAACAGGTAGAAATCATCAAGCTAAAGAATTCAATTAATAAAAAAGATTTTTTACCCAGGGCCCTGCCAGTGTGGATGCCAAAGAAGTCAGCTTGCCAAAGCTCATGCATCTTGTGAATTCAACCCAGCAGACATACACTGTAGAACATAAAGATGGAAGACAGGCTCCCTTCTCTTACCTCTACCTTCTAGAAGAGTGATAGGCAGAAGCCAGCTAGAGGCTCCTCCTAGAGTTGTGGTGGGGCTCCAAAGTGCCTGGTTGTTCCAAACAGGCAGCTGGGGAGGGAGGCTACCACGTACCACTTCAAGTCAAATCTCAGCATAACTGAGGTAAAGAGTTCCTATCCTTCAGAGACGCCTGTGTCCTCAAGGTCCCTCTCCTGATCATGGACATGCAAAGCTCTGTACCCCTCCAAGTTTCCTTTCCTGGTCCCTCACATCTGCCTGGGCCCCAGCTGAGTTATTCTCAATAGTCCATAAATAAATAAATAAATAAATAATGTTTTAATTAATTAAATTTAAAAAGCTAGGCTGACAGAGTGGCTCAAGCTCAAGTGATAGAGTGCCTGCCGAGGCCATGAGTTCAAACCCCAGTACCACTAAAAAAAAAAAAAAAAAATTTCCAAATCTTAAGAGAGATATGGACATCCATCCAGTTCCAGGAAGCTCAAGGACTCCACGCAGACTCAATCAAAAAGAGCCTCTCTAAGGCATGTCATGCTCAGTCTGTCAAAAGTAAAAGACAAAGAATTCTAAAAACCACAAAAAAAAAAGTCAGTTCACATATACTGGAATCTCCATTAGACTAACAGTAGATTTATCAGCAGAAATCTTAACAGTCAGGACAGAATCAGACAATATACTCAAAGTCTAACAGTACTATATTGGATAAAGCTATCCCTCAGAAATGAAACAGAAATAAAGCCTTTCCCAGATGTGTTAGTCAGATTTCTCCCACTGTGAGAAAAATACCTAAGAAAACCAACTTCAAGAGAGGAATGGTTTATTTTGTCTCGGTATCAGAGATCTCAGTCTATGGTCAGTGGATTCTGTTGATTTGGGGCCTGGGGCAAGACAGAATATCATGGTGGGGAGTATAAGGCAGAGCAAAGCTGCTTACCTCATGGTGGCCAGGAAGCAAAGAGACAGGAAAGCACCAAGGTCCCAACATTACCTTTAAGGGCACACGACGACTGGTGATCAATGTTTCTTCCAGTAGGTCCTACGTCCTATTGGTTCTACCACCTTCTGACAGCACCACAGGGTGGGGACCAAGCATTTAACACATGAGCTTTTGGGGAACATTCCAGATCCAAACTATACCAGACAAGCAAAAACTGAGAGAACTTATCACCACTAGACTGACCTTACCAAAAATGCTTAAGTCCTACACCAGGCGTGAAAGGATGAGAATTACTACTATGAAGATATGCAATAGAAATAAACTCAATGGTAAAACATACACACGAATGGAAAGAAAAAACAATCACTTTATCAGTACAAAAATACCCCACTAGGCCAGGCACTGGTGGCTCACACCTGTAATCCCAGCTACACAGGAGGCAGAGAGCAGGATAATCAAGATATCAAGATAATGAAACAGACCCAGAGAAGTTACTGATTTTCCCAGTGTCACAGATCCATGGCCTGCCAATGTCTAAACAAAAGCTAAGCAGGCAGGTCAAAGAGTGAGGAAAAACCTGAATGAACCCTCTAACTGAAAAAAAAAAAAATCTATGGGATACAGAAAAGGTGATAGGAAAGGAAGGGAAGGGCAGAAAATGGAAGGGAAAAGAGAAAAGGGGAGGTGAGGGAAGGGAAGGGAAAAAAAAAAAGCCATGAACCACTATCCTTAATGAAGATCGATGCAAAAATTCTCAAC